TTTGAAACATGTGCAGATAGTTTGACTTCTAGTCTACAGCGACAACTGAAGATGTTGTGTGAGAGTAGAACAATGAGTCCAAAAGAACGTTTTTATTGCTGCCTTGACATTTGCTTTGATCGTGTTAAAGACATTTCACAAAAGGTTCTCGTGATGATTTCAGTGTTTCCTGCAGGATTCTTCACACGTGACGAGGCTGCATCGATCTTCAGGAGCGCATTTTCGAACAAAGAGGAAATTTCTGACGGATTAACTGATTTGATGAACTTCAGCTTCCTGTCTTACAACCAAGAGCAAAAGGCGTATTATTTAAGTCCTGCCATGAGATCGTTTGCGATCTATAAAGCAACMCACGAACCACCGACCTCATCTGAAACTGATTCCACTGAAGTGTCCGATTTGAACGCTACGCACAAGGCTGCGATCTCAAAGTTTGTATGTTACACATTTGACTGCACCTTGAAGATTGAAGATGATTTCTTCAGCACCTGCAGTGCAATTGCCATCCAGAAATACAGAAAACAAGAGGCAAATCTCAGAGAAATAGCAAATTGGCTCACCTCTGATAGACTTTTTAAAGATCCTGAAATTAAGTGCCACAAGTGCTACATCATTGAGAAGTTCATGGAATGTTGCTCGATCAACATCAAGGTCATGGAAAGAAGTTTATTGAAAACCATCCTGCGTACGATTCTAAGGTTTTGTCGAGATGAAGAAGGCATAGACAACTCAAAGAATAAAGATACAAAGAAGCGATACGTCGAATGTCTGACTTATGGTGGAGTTACATGCATCTTGGGTTGTCTCTGTGCACCACAGCTATGTCCAATTGCTCAGGATCAAGCAATGTGGTGCTTTAATGAAGTTCTGARGGCATTGTGCAGCAAAGATCAGACGATTGCTAGTACGGAAGAGGATAAGCTCAAACTTGTGTCTGAGTGCGGGATCATGTCCAAGGGAGCCCAAACTCAGTTCCTTCTGRAGTATGGCAAGTGTTTGGTTTGGGAAGGACAAAATGATGAAGGATTGAAATTCGTCGAAAAGGGGATTGCAATACGCGAGGAAGTGTTCAAGGAATCAAAATCCACTAAAGATCTTGTTATGGTGGCAGTGGGCTACAACAATCTTGCATGTAAGTTTATTATCGATTCTACTTACTTTGCAATACATTGTATCACCCATTTTTGTGAAAAAAAAATGAAAATCGATAGCCTTTCAAAGAGAACGATGAACAAAATAAAACACTTGCAAGAAATATTTTGAGTTCCAACCCGCATCCTAGAACAATGCTGTGTCTCCAGAGACACAAACATGGTCCGTAGTCCTAAACAATATTAATTAAAACAAAAGTAGTACTACTTTGCGAACATACTAGGGAATTTCATATTTTTTCCACTGTTGTAGTCAGAAATTTATACAAATTAATATTTGATTGACTTGGTATAAACGGGGCATAGCCAGGGAATTTGACCGGAGCATCCAAAAATAACTCCTCTCTCTAAGAGGACATTTTGCTTGAATTAGTTACACGTACTACCTAGCTGATTTGGCTTACTATTTTACAGGTGCCTACAGTTACAGCAAAGATTCGAATAAAGCCATTGAAATAAGGCAAACCAAAGTCCTACCGGTCTATGAAAAGCATCTTGGTTGTCATCCATTTACAGCCAATGCGCACAGCCATTCAGCGCACGACTACTTCGTACTCGGTAAGTACGAGGAAGCCCTCAAGGCATGTGAAAAATCTCTATTCCACAGGAAACGTTTGTTGGGCGAACACTGTGAAACTGCTCGTTCTCTATCTGATATGGGCCGTATCTTACGAGAACAAGGTAAGCCTATGTAGAATTCATTCATCCATTTGTGCAAATCCTTGCATTAGGGGGAGAGAGGAAAGGTTGATGCACAAGTCCCGGTATCCAGCCGATGTATCCATCGTATCGCTATGAGGGCAGTTGCGTATCCAGGATTTTCATTGGGGGAAGGGGCTTTACATACCAAATTGTCACTGTGACGTCATATGACGTCAATATGGTGTCATATCAGTCTATGGTTTTCTCGCTTTTTTGGCTTTGAAAGAGGGGGGGAGTCACGGGCAACTTGTGACCCTCCCCTGTTCATTAACTTTTACGTTGATCAGTCGTGTTTGTTTCTTGCAGCGAGTCGATGTGAAATTCCTGATGATAAGCAGTCACAACTTGAAGAAGCGCTTTCTTACCTGAGTAAAGYACTTGAAATGCGTCAGCATCTTGCATTCACCTCTAAAGAAATGGCAGGAAATCACGTGGAAATGGCTCACGTGTTGAGATCCTTAGGGCGAGAAGAGGAAGCAAAAGAGCATGAGGAAAAAGCAGGAGATTGTTTTATGAATGTAGACTATTCTTACATGGATTAGCCCATGGATACGACACTAATTTAAGTCATTTCTTCCACACACGGTATCCTTCAAAGCTCTCGCAAACTGGCATTTTGAAAAGCAACCGGTTCCTGTGCCATCGAAGCGAGATAACCGTCAAGTTGTCTTCACTTCTTTTATGATAGTTTAGCTGGTGGTATTGCCTCAGCACAGACGGTAACCTGGGTAACTCTTTCCTTAAACTTTGTATTTAAAATTCTCTTAAAATTGTTTTTAAAATTGGTTGTTGAATGACCTTTCTAGAATACGTAGATATCGTTTGATATCACACCACGAAGCACACACTACTGTATTATGTTTTATTATATAGCTCGGATGTAACACACGATTTCATTGGCTAAAAAGCGGGCCATACTTTCCCGTACGGACCAGATGAAACGAGAAAAAACGTTTTTTATCTTAAAAAGGCTCGCTTTCTCTCTTTTTGTAGTTGTACTTTATAAAAAAGAGTCA